AAATAAAAAAAAAAAAAAAAAAAAAGTTAAGCACTTGGCAGCTGTGTGATTGGGGGGGGGGATTTGTGGCTGTGCCTTAGTTTGGAAATTAGAGCTGCCTAAATATGATAAATATAAAAGGTAAACACACCTTAATGATAGAAATCACCCCGTTAATCCTGTGAGGCTGTTGTTACAGGTTGGGCCTGAAAATTCTCCTCATCACCCTTTGAATTCTTCTAGTGGTACTATAAAAGATGCATATAGCTATGTTTCATGCAATTTGAATAGTTGTGTACTATTTCTGTTGTATTTACTTCTAAATGTTTGCTAGTACCTCTATAATGCAATTTTAATAGTTGTGTACTATTTCTGTTCTGTTGTGTTTATTTCTAAATGTTTGCTAGTACCTTTATAATGAACTGATTAATTAGGGCTGGGTGTCTAGCAGAAAAACATGCGAAAGCTTTAACTTGCCCTGTATTCTGTAGGGCATTAAATGATACTTTGCCTGGTGCAAAGCTGGTCTGGTAACACAAAAATCAGACAGCATCACCAAAACAGCCCAGCTTCACATAACTTCAAAATCAGCAGATAGCTTGGTTTGAGGTTTTGTTGTTGTTCTTCCCTGGCTTTTTGCACAACACTACTTTTTGTTTTTATTAATCTCCCACCACCATTTTGAAGAGCAGATGGACACAGCTGGTCCTTACCTATTCTGTTGCTTCTTGTCAAAGGAGAAGAATATCCCTCTACACTCCTGGGCTGTAAGCATCCCTATATAAGTTAATGTTTTGTTCACACATAGGTTTTACTTACTAAAAAATACATATCTTTGTTTAAAATCCAGCCTTTAGGCAAGATACATAAAATCTGTAGAAGTCAGTATCTCTTGCCAACAAGACTTTTGCTTAGAGTGTTTTGAGGTGTTCTCCAAATGCTGCTGATGGCTTATAGTACTACATAAACCATCAACCAGTATGTCAGGCCATCTACTGAGGACAACAAATTGCTTGTCCGCCAAACTGTGGCATTTGGGTTGGGTTTGTTTTTACCTTTCTATCATCATAGTATACTTTGTGCAAATCATTTGACTAATGAGGGCTTGGCTTTGACCTGTTGAATTTCTTTTCAGTAGGTCAGCATCCCCTCACTACCTAACTTCAGTCCTTCAGCAGAACCACGGCCGATCTCTCAAAGGTAAACACTTCATTTTCTTTTGTTCTGCTCCCCTGACTCTAGTCTCAAGCCCGTGCTGAAGCCCAGTTGATGTTGTGTATGGACCTGCTCTGAAGGGTCTGCTAGGTTACAGAAAAACTGATGTAGTAGAACGCATGCTCATTATATTAGCCACTTACGTATTAAGTTTAAATCCATAAGATGAATTTCAGAAATGTAATAGGGGCCATCTTGTTCCACCAACAAGGTATATGGACTACGAATACAGGTATTGATATCGTGCAATGCTGCTCCTCAACCAAGTTTATTGCCCTCTGTGTTTCCTGCACCAGTAGTGGAGCAGGTGCAGGACAAAACAAGTCATGTCCACAACCAAAAGCTTTTATGTTGTATAAATGTCGTTCTAACCGTAGTCACCAAAACTTGTTGGAGGAAGGTTGGTTCGGACCAAGTCATGCTCAGGATATTACTGTGGATGAGCGAACTATTCTCGCCATGGCAGGAACACGGTAGCACAACACACTTCCCCATCGAGCAAGTTAAATGTAGTTGTCTGTAGATGATGTTTCAGAAGGTGGCCATCCCTCCTGATGTTAGGGCAGTTGTTCGGCACTCGCAGACCTGCCCGAGGGGTGGGCTGGGCACTGGGGTGGGCTGGGAACCGGCAGCAGCATGCGAGGCTGATGTAGCTACGCTTGTGCTTTGGTAGCACAGACGAACCCGAAGTGGGTATTGCTGCTGAGAAAGAACACAGGGTTTGGGCTGGTTTTTTGCTGTTCGTTTTCAGGGAATCCCTGCTGAAGTGCAGCATCGCTGTCTTTCTGGTGTCCCCTTCCTCTGTCCACTGGGATATACCTATTCTTACAGGTTTGAATGAGCTTGAAGAGTAATGAGGACTTGGTCATAGTTCTGTCCTATGGATTTGTACTTCTGCTTTCCATGAGGAAAAACAGCCAGCCAGGTTGAGATTTAAAAAAAAAGAAAAAAGAAAAAAAAGATGGAAATCTGTTTTTTTATTGACAGTCAAATGCAAACAGAAGTAGCAACAGCTGTTGAACAGAAGATAGTTACTTCATTTTTCTCATATGTACTTTTAAATTTATTTTTTTTTTCATTTTAAAACATTTTAGTGGGCTTTGGTACCAAAAGAGAGATAGACAGCATGCTGGGAAATCACAGCATTTCTTTTGAAGACAACTGTTGTGCACAGGTCTTGTACCTAAGTAGCAAAGGTTAACCCACCTGGGGGCTTATCCTCATCAAAAATAATAATTTTTTAAGAAGGGCTGAAAAGAGAATCATGCGGGGTTTTTTTTTAAGGACTGATTCCAAGAAAAAGCGAGCACGTATTAATTTGTTGTAGAGGGGTATTGCTAAAGCTCTTTCAAAAGGATAATAAAACGCCACCGACGAAGTAGAACTTGAGCAGCGTAGCAGACATCCAGCTCTCACGTTTTGCTAGTGCATTAGGCTTTGAGGTGGGAATATTGCTTCTAGTTTTGGGTCACAAACCGGAAACATCAGTTAGGCAGCGAAGCCAAAGTTTTTTTTGAAGACAGCTGCCTGGTCCGCAGGTGATAATTACCATGCATCCAGATGGAGGGTTTTATGGTGGTACCCGGGTGGCACAGAAGCATCCTTGGCTGGCCGGCTGCTGCAGGGCTGCTAGATCTGGGATTCTCAGGGCTTGTTAGAGAATACAAGAAATCACCCTCCTCTTAATGATGTTGCCGGTTTGTCCTGTGACAGGTTTGGAGATATCCAGTCTGATGCTAACTGTTTCAATCCACTACACAGGAGGTGCTGAGATAACGACATATATCTGCTCTCATTTAGTTTCTGCATCTCGGTGAACCTCTTCAGCATCTCCCTGGCATTAGAAGCAAACCATTAATGTTCACGGGGTTGCGCGTGGCAGCTGTTGTGCAGATGAAAGCATTCCTTGTAATACTGTGCTTCCTCAGCCGTTCTGCTGGGGAAGCATAAATTTGGGAAATACTGCTTTATCGAGGAGAGCAATCACAAATGAAGGCAAAGCACATTAACGGTGACGCAAAGCACTGCTAAGAAGTCGCTGCAGAAGTGTCTCTCCTATTTCTTTGGGGGTACTAACATGCAGAAATGCTATTTGCAGGTAGTAAATTCTGTGTTGCATTAATGCCTCCAATTGCTTGTCATTTTAACAAGGTAGTGCTTATTATACCAACATCAGATGTTAAAATAAAATGTCTGTGATAGCAAGTAAGGAATGGGAATATTTCACTTTCTGATTATGATAGTGGTGGAAAGTAGCCCTTCATGCGTTTTTTAGTTTCTTTGTGTCAATTGGATACACATGACTTCTAAATTCAGGGGCTCAATTGCTGCCAAGAAAAACAAAACAGAATTAAAAAAAAAATCTCCTGAGTGCAATGGGATAGATGTTAAAGTATGCTGGTTTTAAAATGATAGACGGTGAAGACAAGGGGGAATGTGTACATTTTATAACCTGTGTTGCAAACAGCAGCTCAGTCCTCTTTTGATGTTGGTACAACATTCCCAAGGTGACGTCTTCTTCAAATTTCTCCTTGACCAGGGATGATGTTGGGAACAACCGTATTAGATAAGGAAGCCAAACCGACAATTCTGCAGTCCCCCTCCCAAGACTAACCCTCCCCTCAAATCCAGTACCACAGTTAATGCATATGATGGGTGGGTGGGGGAAGAAATGCCATCAAGGATGACATTGCTGATGTTTCACTTCAGCATTTCCCTCCC